TGGAATTTCACATGAACGCCCCTGTGCAAGGATGACAGTCAGAAATCCCGAAATGGTCCAAAATTTTCAAAGGGGAGAGGAAATTCAGAGGGGTTTTCCATTCTACCGACATCTTTTAGYAGGGGCATTTTACCACATAAGCTCCAACTTCTTCACTGTGCAAAGGGTATTTCRCAACTTCCTYCCTTTTGATTTCCTGAAGGACTTTTGTATTATTATAAATGAGCCCACCRCCCAAGGCAACAATCAAAACATCAATCAAGTTCCAAGCCGGCGGCCCGCCGGCGGGTGTAGCCATGGACATCATCTCATCTAACAACTACTAACATCGAACAGGTGATTATACATCTTTTGGGTATCAGCCGCGGTCATGACCATGGGGCCGCTGACCACATGTGGTTGGGATCATGACCACCGGGCCCTACTGCGGCCGTGAACCCCCGATATTTTTAACTCGTAGGGAAATAGGAGAATATATATATATATATATATATATCGTCACAAACTATATCGTCACGAACAGAACTGCCAGGTAAATCGTAGGCAGAGAGAAGAGAAGAGGAAACAGCGATTTCGTCAAAACGGACATTTTATATTTTTTGAACGAAATTGAAATTGACATTTTCATGGTCATTTTGGGTCAAATCTGCATTTGAAATTCGAGGTTTGGGGTACGGGTGTACACGTAAGGGGTAAGGGGTAAGGGGTAAGGGGTCTAGGGGTAAGGGATAAGGGGTAAGGGGTAACGGGTTTAGGGGTCAGGGACAAGGGACAAGGGATAAATGGCAAGGGGTAAGGGGTAAGAGTATGGAGCAATGTTTGCCACCTTCTATACACTGTTTCCGTCACAAACAATTCCATGTTACCCACATTCGTGCACATGTAATCATAATATCCAATAACAGGTACATACCACTCACGAGCCACAGTGTCCAAAGCCAGACGAGGACGTATTGCGGGTATGTCATCAGCGGTGAAAGGGAAAGGCGGAAGGTGACCCCTTGCCAAGAGCGATGCATATGTGAGCATGAAGACCCCGCATGAGTTCGTGTCACGTTGTTTCAGGACGCACTTTACGTTCCATATGTGATTGAACGGTTTTGTGCCCACCCCTTTGCCTTGCTCAATCGATCTTTCGAATAAAAACTTCCCAAATCCGTCGGTCACTTTTCTTGTCAGTTCCATGTCGGGGCTGAGGGAGTCATAAAATTCGAATTTCCTCCTTCTGAAGTCAGCCACAACGAGGGTCCAGTGGTTCATGTGTGCGATATGGAAAGGGGCAATGATCAAGTCCATGTCACTTATTATAACGTCTTTCGACCAATGCTGCACCTCTCGCTCCTGATACCTCATTTCGCTGTCGAAAAGTTTGGTGAAGAAAAATGAGTTCACCACTTATATTCTAGGAATGCGACCTTTCCTGTTCTAATCATGGTTTCATTCTCTACGGCAGAGCCCTTTGCCACCAACCGTTTCATGGCATCAACGCTATGCTTACCACAGATAGCGTGCCAATCAAACTCTACAGAGTCCTTTTGGCAGAACTCGTCCGGCGTGATTCGTCTTCCCTGTCCGCCGACAATGTCGTTCGGGTCAACCAGTGCAAGAACGAGTTCAGGCCTATCCCACGTCCCCGGGTAGGCAGTGATGGAGCTTTCGATGACATTCTCGATGTCTCTTAATATGTTCTCAGACAACAAGCGTTGGTTATAAAGAATCTTCCCACGGGGAATGCGTTTGATGCTTGTGACGTCGACGTTAACAACATGGACGTGTTGCTGACGAAGTCGTGCTCGTCGTATTCAAGAAAGAAACAGCGCGTCGTGTTGAGGGGCGCGGTGTGCTAAACCGGGTCGTCAACACCTTCGGGCATGCAAGGCCCCACCCCCTCGCCCTCATCCCCCGATTCCCGCAGTTCATGTGACCTGACCCTCTGCGAGTCTTTCCTACCGACGTCACGGTCTCCGCCACGACTGCGAGTTCGCCCCCCCCCCCCGCCAGTTTTCCGAGGAGCCCGCGTTTCCTGGGATGCCGTCAACGCTCCGCGAGCCTCATTGACGGCGTCACTCCTTGCTTGTTTCGTTTGACTCATTTGAGAGATCAACGCTTCTCCCCTCGTTTTCTTTCCCCGTGAGCCATGTTTGTCTCTCCCATCCTTCGCCTGGTTATGCGACTGCGACACTCCATGGGAGGTTGCAGGCTGGCCATCAGCCTCATCACCAACGTCATAGGCGTCATCCCCACGACAAGCATGTGTTTCGTTGACGTCGCGGGGGCGCTCGTATTGGTAGAAGCGATTGTCTTCGACTTCCTCATCACCAACATATCTGTCGTTGTCCACGTCGTTGTCTTCACCATCCACATCTCCTTCATTGCCCCCGCCGTCCTCCTCACCACCATCCTCCCCCTCTTGGCCCTCGCATTCCTCCTCATTGAAGACATCTGCACCTCCCTAGGAACGATGTTGGGGATTAGCCCGGTGGCGCAGAGCTTCGTCGTCGTAGTCTGTGGCCTTACTAGACTGCTCGGCCGCGTCCTAACCTTGTCGATGCGAGGGCGAGACCGGAGCGGAAAGAGCCTAGGCAAAGGCATTCGACGAAGAGGGGCGAGTCGACAATTGTTTCCTCTTCACACGCGGTGTGGCCGACGGATCTTGGCGCCGTTTAAGACCCGCGTCAATGGGCACGAAAGCACAGTCCACTTGCTGGGCAACAGACAGCTTCGTGAATTGTTCCCTGTATCGCATTACAACACCTTTCAGCTGGTCCGTCGGGCTGTTGAACTGGACCTAAGGGCCGCTGAGCAGGAAAGGACTGTCAACGACGGCCAGGGAGTCAGTCACGCGGCAACCGTTGGTTTTGGAGAGGAACTTTTCTGGATCCAGCATTCGGAGCTTTGTGCCATCGCCACGCACGTCAAACGCTTTCATCGAGAAAGCCTTGATACCGTAGCCTTGGAAGAGACGAAGGTCAAGAGACACCTTCTTGTCTTCCTTGACCCAGTTTTTCCCCTCGCTGTCATAGACAGAGGTAAGAAAGCACGTCCTAAACTTCCTATCGTCGTAGTTAGCCCTCCTCGCTTCAGATTTCTCAACCCCTCCGCAACAATACCAAAAGCCGTCGTTGTCATCGCTTAAGAAGACAACGGCTCCATAACCGAATTTATGAAGACCACCAACCCAGTCAAGAGCCCAAGGTTTGTGGTTGTGGAGCTTAGACATGCCGTACGCACGTTTCTCAGGGACGGAGGTTGAAGCAGATTTTCCTAAAGGGAGGCACGACAAAAAAAGAGATAACAGGTGAATGCAATTGAGTGACACAAAGAACTTGTTGCCTGAAGACCACAACACGGACACGGGCCCCCTTTGGCTTTTTGCGGACCCAGAGAACGCCGGACCCCATGCACACGGGGTAGGGGTTCCGGCATTCTAGGTCCGTTGGACCCCCTCCCCCGATAAATACAGGGGGTTCGTCGGATCTAGACCGCCGGACCGCCTCGCCCGCGGTGGCGTGGGGGTTTGCCGCTCCGGGAATGCCGGATCCCTTCGCCTGCAACGGGATGGGGGTCCGGCGTTCCGAGAACACTGGACCGTAACTCTATCGGGCATGGGGGTCCGGCGTTCCCGGAAAACTGGACCCTATCTCTAACCGGTATGTGGGTCCGGCGCTCCCAAAACAACAGACCCCCATGCCCGCAGCGCCAAGGGGGTCCGACATTCCTACAACGCTGGACCCCTTCGCCCGTGGTGTATGAGGGTCCGGCGAAACGTTCCCCCCCTCTCCCTCGACCGCAGCGTCGTGGGGGTCCGGCGTTCCCAGAACGCTGGACCCCTTCGCCCGTGGCAGCATGGGGATCCGACGGTTTGAGTTCGCCGGACCCCCATGCCGCAACGGGCATGGGGGTCMGGCATTCTGGGAACGCCGGATCCCCCATGTCACGACCCCCATGCCGCAGCGGGTATGGGGGTCCGGCATTCTGGGAACGCCGGATCCCCCATGTCCGCGGCGGCATGGGGGTCTGACGGAACCTTCCCCCTCTCTCCCTCAACCGCAGCGCCATAGGGGTCCGGCGTTCCTAGAACGCTGGACCCCCATGCCCATGGCGGCATGGGGATCCGGCGGTTCGAGACCCCCATGGCGCTGAGGGCGAGGGAGAGGCGGGGGAAGGTTCGGCCGGACCCCGCGAGGGAGAGGGGGGGAAGGTTCCGCCGGACCCGGCGAGGGAGAAGGGGGGAAGGTTCCGCCAGACCCCGCGAGGGAGAGGGGGAGAAGGTTCCGCCGGACCCCGCGAGGGAGAGCGGGAGAAGGTTCCGACGGACCCCCGTGCCGAGTCCGCCGGACCTCCATGGCGCTGCGGGTGGCGTCTCTCTCTCTCTCTCTCTCTCTCTCTCTCTCTCTCTCTCTCTCTCTCTCTCTCTCTCTCTCTCTCTCTCTCTCTCTCTCTCTCTCTCT